TGTAAAGTTGACATCAAATTGAGTGATCAGTGAATATATAATAAGCCATCTACATATTGTTTTAATATAGGTATTCAAAGTTACTATTTATAATTTGAAAATTAAGTCAATCGAAACCAGTTTGAATATTATATAAGGAAAAAACATTCGTCATGGTCAAATTGGGCGGTTTAACCAGTTCGATCATGGGGAATATATATTATTGTGAATAATCCATTTGTTAATAATAAAATAATAGTAAAGACACATACTAATGATTAACAGGACAGTGGGCAACAAGGTCCTGGAGGAGGGCACGCTGGTCCGCAGCCTCCTGTCATTGGTTGACAACCTTGGAAAGAGTATAGGCAGTAACCTCCCCCTTGAGGGCCTCCCACGAAACCTCCGTAGTATACAGGCATCGTTTTTTCATATATTATTATATAATACACTATTTAATTTAAAAAAAAAATTCACTGGTTAATAGAAATGTAATTTAATAAAAATATGAATGTGGGTTGATGGATGGTTTGCGATTCTGGGCGAAATGATTTCAAATTATTCGAATTTGAAATTTTATTTTTGGTAAAGATGTCCAGTATTATTTAAAATAATAAAATGTTTAGTTAAATGTTTATTATGGCTTTGATATTTTTATAGGTACAACATATACTAAATATGAAATTTAACCACTATTCAAAGTTATCATGTAATCGTATAAGATTTTTTTATCTAACACAATAATATTCTGTACACGGATAGTGTAATATATTTTTTAAAATAAATCACATCTGGCCGATAATGAAAAATGAATTGTTTGTCAAGTAGAAAATAAAACAATCTGGTAATCTCAGCACACAAGTCAAGCAGAAGATTTTTGAAAATATAAACCTAAAATAATTTGCAGTCATTATAGATATATATTATCAAGATGCCGTATCAATATGGTTGCTATCGGGACTACAGCATCGGGACCTTCGCCCGGTGTCCATGTGGTTGTGACCGACCCATCTGTGGTAGCTGCCCACCCTGTGTACAAGGTTGCTGTTGTTCTCCAATCGGACCCTGCTATAATTGCCATTGAACTAATTGAAATCCATTTGTAATGTTAAAATCTTAAAGTAATACATTTTCTGCTGAGTTTTCATTGTTTTTTTAACGTCAAATTTTAAACTGTTGTACATGAGACTTAATGTAAGGTTGTGGTCTAATATTTTCTTGTTTTTGTCCTATTTTTCAGTCGCTTGTAAGCTGTGATTTTATTATAGGGAGCAGATTAGGCCGTAAAATTATTGCATAAGAGGCATGACACTTTAGTCTTCTGGAATGGAACATAATAACGTGAAATCCGTAGTGCTGTTCATGTATATAGTTGACGGTTTTTTTTTGGATGGTAATGGAATGATGAACCCGCCTGTGCCAACGGTTTACGCTGGTGATGGATCATTTGAAGTGGAGGTTAATAAAATGAGCACGAGGTCAGGTCAGTTAACATCTTAGCGAATGGCAATTTAACACAACGATTTTGTGATGATGATTCCAAGGGGAACCACGTGGAGGTCAACCTTAGATAGTACGGCTAGTAATGGGGTTATTAGTCCACATTACTAACAATCCCCTTCTCCCTTATGGACGACGGTTACTGCATACCATACATGACCCTTTCTTGTATTGAGGGTTTTGAGCTATTGTCAGATGCTAAGACCTGTAGCACTGCGACCTGCATTGATCTTAGCCCTTACATGGTCCTTGACTGATTTGACATTTTTCAGTTCCATAAAAATTAGTAATTTCTGTTTTATTATTAAGGCTACTATATTTGTTGAATACTATCTTTCATATTTCACATCTGAGCACCAATTATCTACTACATTACTAATAATACCTATATCTAATAATACTTAATCATACATACGTCATCTTTATTTCATGATAAAACATCGTAAAAATATTCAGGGCTTACCTTCCCAAGAATTCTAGCCTAAAAATAATGCTCCACTTCCCTAGAAATGATTTCGTGTTCACGTGCGTGACTATTGAATCGGGGGAACCGACTGCCACGCCAAATTGAAAGTTGATTCGTCCGAAATAACTATTGTACAGTATATATAGGGGTCGTTTCGTAGAAGGCACGCTAACTCCCTTTGCCCTATGAACTTGTGAACTAGTCACAAGTAAAACATTATTGTTACATAGACCTGAACGAATTGGTGTTAAACAAACAAGAGCTTAATTTATACTGGTGCATTTTTATGTACGTTGCTATTCTTTTTAGAATTGATGTAGTGGATTCCTCGAATAGGGTCCGTGCTATAATTGGTTCTTGTTGAATAATAAAAATACCAGAAATGAATGAATATGTCTCCACAACGGAAGTAAATATATTTTTTCTGTTGATGTACTTATATAGTAAACATACCTCATGATTAATTAGGACTGGTAATTATGCCCTAAAGAGGAAGTAGGTGAATGGAGCTTGTGTTGATTTTTCTTAAAGTTATAGGTACAATTATTTCGGCATCTTGTATTCGCTATTCGTCGAGACCGTAACGTGTCGACGTAAACATAAGAATTTGTTAATATTGTTACTCAAATATCAATAAATGGGAGTTATAGGAGAAGAAAAAGGCGCGGGCGAAGACTGTAAAGGTAAAGTAAAGAATAGGTCATACGGGTATAATCTGTAGTTCTGTATTACCTTATTTCCACACAGCCACAGGTCTTAGCACCGTTAATGAATTTATTATTTTTACGTCCGTGATTCAAAATGCATGATTTATTTAAGTCTTTAAAACCTCACACTGAATCTTCGACTAGCTTTGACGATACAGAAGCTGTTTGTGGGAGATAGATCTGGAGACGTGGGAATTATATTGAATTGTAACATATAAATTAGATGGCACTGTTGCCGTCGTCTTCTTTACTTGCTTTACTTTTTTTCTGTAATCCTACTTTCTTATAACTGTAGTGATCTAAATATAAAATGAGATAGATATATGACCTTTGTACAAAGCATTTAAAGAAATGGTCTACTAATAAGTCTGAAATTGAGTTTTTGAACTATAAAGATTTTATACACAAAAAACGTTATCGATTTTCTCTGTATACCTCATTGGAGATTTAGCGTTAAGATTTATATAGATACGACAATAGAGGAAGGAAAAGTTCTCTGGCTTTAGATGCGGGATAACGAATTATGAGAAGTAATAACATGTCGCGAATATTTCACATTTAATTGTCATCTCAGACATGCAAAATACATTACGGTCCAGTCACAAATAGATGAAAGAGACAATGTCTAGTATCGTGGGTACATCGCTCGGCACTTCCGGCCGCCATGTTATCTGATGGCGACGCTCACAAAATGAGCGCACTTCCGGTTCGCACACCTTGCTTTCATGTGAAATTTATTTTTGCGATATACTGCTAAATGATTTATCGACAAAATATTTTAAGTTGACATATATTCTATAATTGTCTGCATGACAGATTTTTAACTCACCCTTCTCTCATCAATATTATAAAGGCGAAAGTAACGTCTGTCTGTCTGTCTGTATCACTCACTTTTACACAAAACCACTGAACCGATTTAATTGAAACTTGTTACACACATATATATATATATATATAAATAGTCTAGACCCTGATAAAGGATATAGGGTAGATTTTAATGCGAAAAAGGATTGTAAGAAGAAAGAAGAGATGAAATGAATGATGAAAAATGGGAATATCGTCATTTTTAAAGGTGATCATTTTGAAGGTCATTTTGAAACTTATTTTTTAGATTGTTAAATACTTATAAATAAATATGACATTCCAAATTTGTAAAAATGTTACGTTTAAAGGTTACATTTTTACAAACCCACTCAAGGGGTTAAATTAAATTAGGGGATGAAAGTTTTTATAAAAAAATAGTCATTTTTGAAGCTAGAACGTTGAAATTTTATTCTTTTGATTTTTGGGTTAAATTATTAAGTATTTTTTCTTTATTTGGTTAAGATCATTATTCCATGCGGATGAAGTCGGAGGAACAGCTAGTAGCTTATAATCAGAATAACACATATTAACACAGACAAATATAAATTTCATGAAGGTAAAACCGCGGGCACACGTAGGTTGTATTAATTATATATTTTTTCAGACTTCAAGGGCAGCATCTAGGACCGTAACGCCAGCTGTAGGTACCAAAGGGGCGGCCGCAGGGTCCCGTACATACTCCGCCACAGGGCCCGCAGAACGGCGCCGGATAGGATAAACCAGCGACTTGCCCACAACATGGGATTCCGCAACTTGAGCATGGACATGGCATCCTGACTTTTCACTGATAGTTTTTTTATAATACAAGTAATTTTATAGCAGAAGCAGTCGATATTGGTTAAATTTTCTTTGTTTCCTGTCAGGTTGCGTAGATATGTGTGAATTTTTCTCTGTAATGTCTCTATGTAATAAAGTATATTAGCTTGCCAGCATTGTGTGTTATTTGTATCAATCTGAGGTTCTAATATACATATATAGTTACTAAAGACTCTACCAATATTGCTTGGGCATGTTATTATTGTTTGTACTTGCGTTATATGGAAATTATAAGTTTAAGGAATATTACAATTAAGTCCAACTATCTAAATTATTTCTTCAACAAAAAACCAAAAAATATTAATTCAATTTTTAAATTTATGTAATGCAAACTATGTGATTAATTAGTTACAGGCAACTTCATAGGTTCTGAAGAATAATTACTGACAGATGGATTGCCATACTTCAAACATTTGATTTGGGAAATAAACATTTAAAAAATTTATAAAATTATTAAGTAAAAAAATTTATTTTAATTAATAACATTATAAAATTCATGAACAAGATTCTAGATATATCTATCAGTGATTAAAAACATTGGACAAAATGCCAGTTCGGAACTGAAGAATAATTACTGACAGATGGATAAGATGTTCCATACTTCAAACATTTGTTTTTGGTATTTGGGTAAAAGAAAATAAACATTTAAAAAATAAACATGTAAAATTATTAAGTAAAAAAATTTATTTTAATCAATAACATTATAAAATTCATGAACAAGATTCTAGATATATCTATCAGTGATTAAAAACATTGGACAAAATGCCAGTTCGGAACTGCTGTCTTGGTTGTCAAGGCCCTATGTCGGCACCTTGCGGGCCCCTCGGGCATCGTCTAGAATCTTCTGGAAACTGTGTGGGGCCCTGTTGTGTTCACGCTGCCGGCATAAGATGTTCGCCGGCTTGTGGGGAATGCGGAATTATGCATGGGTAACTCGCACGTAACTTTTAACTGGGATGACAACACATGATTGGTATCATTGGTGTCATATGATAACATGATGTCCAAAATGCTGTTCATATATGAAGGCTATGGTTATAGCCATCCATCAGGTGGGTAGGCACCTGATGGATGGCTATAACGTGTAGGCACTTCTCTGTCATTTCAATTACGTAAAAATATCGCCAGCCAAAAGTTTTATAATAAAAAAAAATATTTTTCAGGCAACGAGGAGGAGTCGCCGGCTCATTTTTCAGCTGCGGCCATGGCTGTATTGGAGGCTGTATCGGTGGGGTCTGTGGATCCTGCTGTGGACCAGCGTGTGGATAAAATCTCCATAAAATCGTCATCTCTGTTTGGGTCAATAAAGATTTTTGCGTACCAATATTTTTTTTCGGTATTATTCATTATATATTTATGATATTGTGTAGTAACATTTGTTATAGATTTACATGTCTATCTACAGTATATTTGAATATAGGTAGCTACCGATATGACCTGCACGCAGATTTCGATATTTTTATCTACAATTTAATTTACTTTCCTCACACCAATATATCTAAGTTCGAAGTCGAACTTTCTACAAAGAATAGTCTGATGCTGTTTCGGTTGTAAGATCAGATGAGTGAGGATAATGTAGTGTGTTACAGGACATGGCATATCTTTTTTCGGAATGGCAACGCCATTGATGCCACGGGTTTTATGATAATGTGGCGTACCATTATGATCGTCAGCTTGCTATTTTTTTCGCTTATATATTTATGATATTGTGTAGTAACATTTGTTATAGATTTACATGTCCTACTGCAAACCAATTGAGACGTATAATTCGTCTCAATTGGTTTGCAATCACAAGCATCATTGCGTTACATCTGTCGCCGTAAAACTCCTGATTTTATCAGACTGTTCCTGTATTCTTCATGACCCTAATATGCCATTCGTAGAAGATACCGTTATGTTGTAACTGAATTTCATGATATACCAAGATCAACTAGTCTAATTATAGGTACAGTTTCCTCACTAATTATACAGTTCAGTTCTTAGTCTTCTTGTACTCTTCATGTTAAGAAAACTAATCGTAGAAGTGATTTTGTTTAACCGAAATCAATATTTATTGACATCATTATTGTTCTTAATAAACATTTAATCATTTGTATTTGAATACATTACCGGCAACTTCTTGGTAAATTCTCATAAAATAGCAATGAAAACAAACATTTCTGTTAGAAACGAGTTCAAGAAAACAACGGTAAACAAGCAACATTTTATTCTTAAATTACGTTCACGGGTACACCCAAACACCTAAAACCATCTTGTCTAATTCTCGCAGACCCTCCTGCAGGTGACCACACCATACGCGAACTGGACTCTTCACAAATACTCAATTTGCTTCAACAGCATGGACCGCAAGGGGAGCAAGGACCGCATCGTGACGGACAGGGACCGCATGGTGGACAGGAACCGCAGCATGGTGGGCCGCAGCATGACGAGCAAGGCCCGCAGCATGGTTTACACATAGATGGACAGCAGCTTGGGCCGCAAGGTCCGCAAGGGCCACAAGACGGTCGAGGGCAAGACCCGCAGCATGATCCACAGGGACCACAGCATGGACCGCATGAGCCATAGCACGGTCCGCAGGGACCACAAGATCCACAGGGACCACAGCAGGGCCCGAAAGGACCACAGCACGGACCACACGGACCACAGGAACCACAAGGACCGCAACAAGCCATTTTTCTTTTCAAAAGATGCTTTTACAAACTGGTACTTACTGGTTATTTGATAATTTTGAATCGAAAACTATTATTATTTATATACTTTTTTAATGAAATTATTTATTTTATAATTTTTATGTGCTCTGTGTAAATTTTTATATAAAACTGAGGTAATTGACATTGCATTTCATTCAAGTGTAAATTTTCGTTCTATATTCAAATTTACTACGGTCCAGTTATCCAACTGGGCCGCAGGAGGATACGAAATTTAAATTCAAAGAATATTTCGATGTAAATAAGGTTCGTAGTCACCGGAGCTGGAGGAATAAAAAAAAAGGTTTTTTTCTTCTCTGCCGAGGTTCCATCAAAAACTTGACATATATTTCTCTTTATGAAAAAACATAGTGATTATTTGCTCAGTTATATCCGCAGCTGTTATTTGTTATTAAAATATTTTTTTACAAAGTTATAAATTTTTTATCATTTCTAATATTACTGGATCGTATAGACCACAGGTATTGCCGTAAGTTAAATAGAAGTTGAAGGTAACCTAAAATTGGGCGGTCTGGCTAACAATCTGTACAAAATTCATTCAGTTAAAATTTAGGTACGCAACAAAAGATCTACTTTTTTTGTAGACGGTAAATAAGCGACAGTATTCAGACATCAGAGTTAACAAGCCAAATAATTGTTCTACCGCTAAACGTAGTTCAGCGTAGTGAGTTAGTGAATATCGTTATTAGTGTCATTACATAGTTCCATGTGCAGTGTGCAATTGAAAAAAGCAAATTGCGTACATTATACATTTCCTGAGTGGTTCATGGAACGCGTACGAGTAGGTAGGTATCACGTCGCGCTCCGCCACCGCGGTGCAGCGGTGCGCGGTTACGACACGCACCCGTATGTTCGTAGGTCAGGGGTTCAAAACTTTTGGAAATTCTATAGTAGTAGATATACATAAGATATGAACGCCCGGGTAAATTCGAAGCAGGCTTTTATTGCCTATTAATGTTAAAAATTTCAAAGCGTATCTAAATGTCTATTTACTGCCTTTGCATGACTAATGTAATAATAGATTTTGTCACGGGAACAAAAGACAAAAACAAACGAAGTACAGTAACAGTTAGTATGTTCATGAAATAATCAACAAAAACAAATACTGCTTAAAAATAATAATTATTTCCATTTTTCTCTCACATATTTTGTTTTTTATGATATCTATCTTCTGTTCTACATGTGCTTTAGATTAATGCTAATAGGGATAATTGGAAGTTGACATTTTATAAAGTTATATATTTTAAACATGCAACTGAGATAATGTTTAAATCAGGTAATAAAAATAACACTTCACATTAGGCGGAATGTGTGGAACTAAGTTTACTGATTTCATAATAATTGTGCACACCCATATTCTTGGCAAAATAAACGCTTCATTTCACATTCACAATTTTCACAATTATAATGAAAATATCTAATTATTCTCCAATACAATTTTTTACGTATTTTATATGGCAACATATATAAATAATCAATAAAATTTTCAATGCTAAACAAGCTGACCCTACGGTCAAGCAAGCGGCGACAGCCTAAATACATGAATGGACGTTACATGACGTCGTGTGACGCCCATTTCAGAGAACTAAGATGTTATACCTCCGTATCCAGCATTTTCCCTGTTATCGAATATTTTTATTTATATTTTATAATAATATTAAACAATTAAAGCCAAAGGTTGCACTCCCCTACGGCACTCAAGGCACATCCGTTGTTTCCTTCCCACGACAAATTGTAGGAAGTGCGTCCCCAATGACCAAAACAACTGTTGCTATGTAGCAACTGGTGCTTGCACAAAGGTTATTGGTATACCTGATCATTACTTAAAATATATTTTTTTAAGCCGGTCGATAAAGGAGAGTATTATTGTGACCACAGAACAGGCGCCTCTGTTCTGTGATTGAGACACATACAGAGACTTTCATAAGTGCGACAGACATAGATAGACAGACAAACCGCGCTAATATAGATAGCTTTCTTTATATTGCTTCGAAAAGAAAGCTATATGGATAGCCTTCTTTACATTGTTTCGAAAAGAAAGCTACATGGATAGCTTTCTTTGTATTGTTTCGAAAAGAAAGCTATATGGATAACTTTGTTTATATTGTTTCGATTTTACAAAAACCGTAATGGATTGCTAAATGTGTACCGCGGTTTCGTATGCAGGACTCCAGGTAAACCAGAAATAATATAAAAATATACTATAAACAAGTTTCCAAATATATCAGCGATAAAAAAAACTAATCAAAGTGCCAGTTCGGAACTGATGTCTTGGTTGTCAGGGCCCGATGTCAGGGTCATACCGTTAGTGTATGAGGTACCGAGGTATTAAAGCAACGAAGAAGTATCACGGATGTCACATGATCATTCCGAGTTCGGACGACAGTAACGACTTATCGTCAGTTTGTTTGGCATACCAGTTACATAAAAAAATTCATGATAAATCCGATATATGATCTTGATATATATATATCAGCTAACATTGAATTAATAACGCAAAAGATAGTGATGACCTTACACAACCGGGTATCTGAATTATACGACATATGCACATTTTGTCTCACGTCAAGTCAAATAGATAACATTGTCTTCCGACGTATGTCGTGATAAAATGGAAAAGGAAATGATATTCATCTCAATTTTTTATCTACTCACAAGCATCTGTCACTGCTCTATTGAATCTTCAGAGTCCGTAATACGCTGCGATAGCTACTTCCTTTGATATTCCTTCTTATTGAAGTAAAAGGAAATCTATAAATATACTTTATAAATAATATTATTGATATCTACAGTACGGTGCACAAAGACAAATTGATGAATGTTATAACGCTCTTTCACGGGAGAATCGGCTTTCATGCAGGAAAGAATGTATGTCTATGTATATAGACAAAGAGAACGAAAAGAACTGCGCCGCCATATTCCCGCGTTCTGCAATCATGAGTGATTTAGTGTCTTTTTTAATAATTAATTTTTATTGCAAAATGGAGAACATTTGACAATAGAGCAATATAGAGTTATTGATAATTTATAAATGTTGAACATGTATTTGGAAAATAAAATCTGTGGATTAAAAATAAAAATGAAGGTAAAACGACATAAAGATTGGCCACAATAAATAGTAAAATCCAATCACTCACGATTGCGCGCGCTTCTGATCGCGTGAAAGAATGTGTCGTCTAAAAGCAACTGATATGTAGACGGTATGGCGATTTTACTTACGCCGAGCAGCAACACAGCCTAGTTACAGTTTGTTTTTTGAGAATTCACAAACTTGTCATTCATGTACTAATTCCATTCGTTCTTTTGTAAATATATTTTCTATGTACATAACTTATATACTCGTACTTGTCTTGTAAATATTCCGATATACATATGTGTATAGCAACGACTGATAATTTCCTTTCAGCTTTCTGTTGCTACACAAAATATAAATATAGCTGTACTATCATAGCCGCTAAAATTCTATTTAAAGTTGTCTGCTTAAGTATTTGTCTTATCTATTTTTGCAGCTAAGCATCTTTATTTGTTAGCTAGGTCTCAGTTTAAAGAATGAACGACATGATGTCTGTCGTGCTGTTCAGGTATATAGATGACAGGTGGTCCATCGGATCACCTTCTTT